TTTTTATAGATGTCATTGTCGTCTTCCACCTATCAGAAAAAGAAAAAAACAGAGAGAGGGAGAGAGAGGAAGGATTTCAACGATCAGAAAAAAATAATAGAGAGTGAGAGAGAAGAATGGAGAATAAGAACACCCACAATGCTTTGAGTCTCTTAGAAAAATATCACATGCCATGTAGGAAATAGACTTAGTCTATAGAAAAATATTTTATTAGAGCATCCACAATGCTTTAGGTTCAATCAAAAAAATTTGAATGCCACCTCGGAAATAGACTCAGTCTAAAAAAATATGTTCTCCAATTCAAGTGTATGTGGACTAGGTCTTGCTGATATGACAACAAGAAAAAGAGATCTAGTCTAACCTTAAGTCTAATTTAGACCAAAATAGAGACCTAGTCTCCTTGCATTGGAGTAGATTTTGTTAATTTTATATATTTTTGTCCATGTCATCCAAGACTTAGATTAATTTACATTCCACATATACAAAACTAGACCTAAAGCATTGCAGATGCTCTAATGCAATTAAAAGCTTATGTGGCACTAGAAAAAAGAGACTAAGTCCACACTTGGGTCTATTTTGGACCCAAGTGCAAACCCACCTAGTCATTAATTGTTCACAATTTTCTTTTTCTTTTTAATAGGCAAAACACATTTTTTTTGTATGCATTTATTATTACTATATTTTTATTGGTTGTTTAGTATTCTATACCTAGTACTTTTTTGTTTTGCATTGGATAAATTTTGAATTTTTTAGCCTGAGTTTGTCCATGTCATTATGAACTTAAGTGTATTTATTTGCCTCATATGCAAAAAGAGATTCAAAGCATTGTGAGTGCTCTTAAGAGATAAGGGGGAAGAGAATGCCTACTTTTAATTAGGCTAAACAGTTAATTGTATACTTCAATTAATTATTTTTTATATATCTAGTAAATTTGCAACTAATGTTATGCATATAATAATTTTGCAATAAAAAGTGATATGTGTTGTACAGGGTGTAATTTCCTTTAACAATAATGTCCAGTCAAAGACAAATTGAAAGAAAATGTATGATTCTCCCAAAACCGAAATTGTAATTTGTTATTTTTTTTACTAGTACGAATCTCTGCGATGCACGGGTTAAAAATATTTATTAATATTTATAAATTTTTGTATGAAATTTAAATTGTGCAAGATTTCATAAAACATGTCTATCTAAAAAATTATTCTTAAATTTTAAAATTAATGAAAAAACTAAATTAAATTTAGTTACAAAAAAAATATATATATATTACTATATATTTTAGAATGATATGTGTTACTTATGACTTACATATGTTATATTATATTAGTTGTTATAACTTATATAATATAACTACTTGAAATATAAATATATTAGTTGATAAATAATTTTATTTTTCTAATTGATATTAAGAATAATTTTATTTATTGTTATAAAGATAAATATAATTTTTTTTATATATACAATATAGATGTTAAATCGAAGCTCATCAAAAGAAGATTAATTTGATATATTACATATGTAAAATTGATAAAAATACAAAAAGTTATTAACTTTTAAAATATATATACCATTCAATAGTTATAATAAGAAATGATATTAAAATACAATTAATACATGTAACATGACCATAAATAATCAACATATATATAGTAATCCGAACCTAATTATTTTTGGTTTGGAATTAAATTAAAATTAATCCAAGCCTAATAACGAAATATATGATTTTGCCACATAGGATTCCGAAGCAGCAGAAGCAGCAACATAGACTCAACGCGTTCTGTATTAATATATAGGGGGATATCTTATGGCAATTATTATAGAAATATGTTATAATTTGAGAATCACATCACCTCGATATTATGACAAATCAACCTAACATTCAACTTTAATACTCACCAAATAGAATTCACACTACTTATTTTGTTTTCAAAATTTCCAAATACATTTATATTCATACCAAATAAAATTCATACATTTAAATTCAGTCATTTCATATCACAATAAAATCGCCCCACTTAATACCATAAATTGGACATTTATTAGTAACATATTTCCTACAAAAAAAAGCCATCGGATACCTCAAATAAAACTACTCACTTTATACCAAAATCGGATTTATCAATTTCGTCAATTTTACACCATAAAGTGGTTATTTAATATATAGAGGCGGGATTTTAAAAATTTTCATCAAAGTTACCAAGTTTAGTAATTTTTAAAATTTTTAGGCGGTATTTTAATTCTTATTTCAAGTAAATACTAACACACTCATATATATATATATATGTTAGAGTATTCAATTTTATGATAAAGATATCACCTAAAAATATTGTGTTTAAATCAATTAAGAATTTACGTTTGTTAATGTACAAAAAGTGATGAAAAAAAAAAATCAAAATACATTACGGAGTCGTAAGTTTGCAAAAAAATCTACAATACATTATGCAGTCATAATTTTTCGAGTTGTATTCACTGTAATTAATTATCTATGCTACCAATAACTATAAATTAATTTCCACATAAATTAAACAATTAACATGCACATCCTATAAATAAATATTTTGTATATAAAATAAATAATGGTACTGGTAACACAAAACTTCCCGACCGGCTGGAACTCGAATAATCGCCTTCCTTTATGCCGCTTTGAACGTCGTGCACCTACAAAGAACTCTCACACCGGAGGGGTTTTCCGGTGAAGAGCCTCCAAAGCTTAAGTCAATGTATGCTCAATCAATTCTCAAGAGTAAGTAATAGAATGATCGTGTTGAAGAAGAAAGGCTCACCCCCTTTATATAGGGGTGGGATACCTGACCTAGGGCTGCCCGGATTTGATGAGCTGTCTGCCCTAACTGCCCGTCCGTACACACTAAACGCGTGTGTCAGAGGTAGCCGTCGCCACTATCGCCTGCACCAATCCTCTTTGGACGCGTGTCCTCCTGCACATGGGGTAGGCTGTCAGAGGTGGTTATCGCTATCCACCACTGCCTTCTCGACACGTGTCCTCCCACACATGGGGTGAATATTCTCTTGGAATTCTGTTAAAGGCTCCCTCACGCGCCTATGACTAGGCCGAACAGCGTGGTGTTAGGTCCTCGAAGTAGTCGACCTGTTGAGGTCGAATAGGTTGCCCGATCATGTATCTGGTCGAAGGATAGTTTGGTCGACAGCATTACTTGGTCGACTGGTTAACTGCTCGATTTCCTTGACTTCCTCATGATACGACCTCCTTGACCGGTCAATAGACCGGTTCAGCCTAGTGGGTATAATATCCTATATCAGGTACAAACATGGAAATAAATAAATAATTAAAACTATTATGGATAGTAAATAACATTAAACAAATAATCCAAGCCATATTGAATTGTCTTTCCCAAACAATCAAGATCTTCCATACGCATGAAAAAAAATTCGCATCCAATCATCTCCTCTCGTCCGAGGAAACCCCAGCCGACGCATCTCATCCACAAAAATTGACCGCAAAAATATCGCACACCTTGTTAAGCAAAAAATTTATGTGGCGAAAAAGGTAAATAAATAAATAAATAGAATCAACCGGGCAGCACAATTCATCTTCCTTGTTTAGTAGCCTTCACTTTCGGCCAACCTTGGTCCGGCTTTTAGCCCGATATCGTTAGCCCATGCAGCGCCCACATTCAGCGTCGTCCGACCGTTCCTCTGACAAGTCGAGTGTATGTTCGTAACCACCTCTAGTCGAAGCCTGGCTTCGCACAGTCATGTGTAGCCGCTCCGGACGGAGTCCTGCACGTCCGTTTAGCCTGTCGGTCACCTCGCGATAGCCGCCGCCGGCGAATAGAAGCAATTCATGTCGTCAAGCCCACAACCCGCTCTCTCCAACACCAAACATTAATTAGAATATGCATCCATTGCTCTAAGTCGTGCATTTTCACTCTCATCGCTTCCAGTCGAATGGTAAGTGATTGAAGGTACGTCTGACAAAGAACTGGTAAATCGCCTTTTCCTAAACTGCAAAAAGATTCAAAAATATATAATTAAAATGAAGCACTAAATCCAAAATTAGAGAACAAACAATGAGAAAATTAACGAAAAACCAATACCAAACCCTTAAATTAAAAGTTCAATAAAAATAGAAATTAAATAAAGAGTGACTCTGTCCATTTTGATTTGAGTTTTTGAATCGTGTTATTTGGCATGTTTCAAGGAAGAAAGGAAAAGAGAAAAACTCAAGTTTAGATAATGAAGATTGCGATAATAAAACAATCACATAGATGTTAAGATATCTTAGAATGTATCCAAAAAAAATCTTTGTATGATTGTTTCTTTTAAATGTTTTGATTTCTTTCTTTTTAAAAAAAAATTAAAACACATTTAAGCGGGATATTTTGAATTTTTTTGAAAAAATTACTTATTTTAGGAATTATGTAATTTTAGGCGGGAATTTAATTGATATTTCAAGTAAATGTCAAACTTTTTTATATTTATATAGATATAGATTTTTTTTTTTTTTTTTTTTTCAAGAGCTCAAAAATAGAAGAAGATTATCGCATAATGAGAGGTAAAGAAATGTATTTTTATAATTACTTTAATTTTTAGGAATGTATTTTTATAATTACTTTTAATGTTTAGGAATGTATTTTTGACTTGATAAAAGGTAAAGAGACCTAAGCCTATGTCACTTGGGATTTGGGAATAGATCGTTTCTTCATATATATATATATACTCTTTGCTGTCCTGCCTTTCGGGCAGTTACTGTCGGATAGTTCAATTCACCCACCGCATAGGTGTTTCAGTAGCGATATTCCGATTCCGAAGGCAGCCGCTCTACCGTTGTTCAAGTCTAAAATCGCTCGCTCGCTCGCTCTCGGAACTAACAAAGCAGATGATGATGGGTTATTCATCTGAATCTGATAAGCGTAAGAAATTATCAGTAGATCCCCAAATCTGCATCGTGTGCGAGTTCAGCGATGCAACATCCCAAGGCTACGACATTGTAATTGCACCAACAACATCATCGTCGTCGTCGTCGTCGTCGTCCCCCAACACTATCACTATCAGGCCTGCCCTCCGCCTCAAAATCGACATGGACACTCTAACCGGGTTTGCTTTCTGTGGTCTGGGTTCCACTCTCTATATGTTTGACTACAAACCCTCCACGTCAGCATACAAGCTTGACCTGTCCCAGCACCTCGCTTCTGGGCGGCCCACCCGCACCGTGGATCTGGGGATTGCCGACCTCACCCTCGTGAGCTGTATGTGCCACCCAAAGTACCTCGTCCAGGCCATCCCCACACCCGATGCCACAAAGATCCTCGTCTTCTCACAACTCATCGAATTCAACGAAGACACGGGGTTCACCGGAGGCAACAATTTCGAGCTCTACGATCCCTCAACTGACACCTGGCTTCTGCTCCCGGGAATCCAAGACGATTATTGCTTTGATGAGGACCATTACTTGGCCCACATCATGGACTATGCTTTTGTGGATGACACTACTTTCTTCATTCAGACGGCCAGGAGTCTCTCAACCAAAAGCAAAAGAACCATCTTCTGTCTCCATCTCGACACTATTGCTAGGGGCTGGCGGAGGCTGGACAACTATTTTGGGGCCCACTCGGTTCTCATGCGGCCGAGCTTCGGCCGTTTTCATGTGATTGAGGAAACGCTGTGCGTGACGCCCCATCACATTTACGATCTGAGGAGGAGGAGGAGTAGTAGGAGGAGTAGGAGAGATGAAGAATCATCTTTGGTCAACCTTGTGTTGGGGCCATGTGCACCTGATTTCCGCCCGTCCGCTGCTGATTCTGTGTGGCTTCTTGATGGCAAGCTGCAGGGCAAGTACACGTTTTGCACTTTGACGGCAGGGATAAGGAGAAAAACCCGGGAACCTAAACTTGTAATGGCTCTCCACCACTGTGATGTTGCCGGCTATAGAGAGGATGGGGAACTCAGCAACAGCATCTTGCCTGGGGAACGCTTTAACTTTTTTCCCCTCGGCCACAAGAAATGTCGTACATTTGATCCCATCCACTTCTTCACCATCTCCAACTAAATTAAATTATTAATAGCTCTACTCTTTTTATTTGATTGAGCATACATTATTGTCATGTAATAAATTATAATTTTCTTACTACTCTTTTGATTGATTGAGGGAGAGTATGTATAGTGGATCAGTTTGTTCTATGATAAATTACTTTCTCACTCATAATCTTCTAATTCTATCTCACTCAACTATTGCTATTACTATCAATCAATGATCGAAGATACTTTTTATGATTGTCTTTGCAATGGCATGTAGTTGTTCAGTTGATCTTTTCTTGGTATTAGGATGTTATATCTGTTTCGGCATCTTCTTATGATTGTCTTTGCAATGGTGTAGTTGTTCAATTGTTCTTTTCTTGGTATTAGGATGTTATATCTGTTTTCGGGGTTTTAGTTTAACCCGTTGGTGAACGTAAAATTAATGCGCCATAATCTATCCGGTTCTGTATCTTAGCTTGGAGTATTCGTCACCACAGAATTAAATGATTCTTTGAGGCTGGCTGGTCTTGTATTTGTTGTCTGATGATGTCATGTGCCCCTGAGGATTGTAAATTTCTTATGTTTTTGTGCTGTTCAACTTGTTTTGTTGGCTGGTCTTGTATTTGTTGTCTCATGTCATGTGCCCTGAGGATAGTATAGTAAATTTCTTAGAGACTACCCCTTATTTCCCCACGCCCCAACGCTATTTCCATTCCCCCGCTCCCGTCTTGCGGCCCATCGGAAGAATTTAAAAGAAGCCGAAAATTATCACAATCCGCGGTCGGAGATTACCTTCGGCTCGAAATATCTTCATCGTCTCCGTGCTCAATTCATGGTCGGCCCGAAAAAGTTGGAAACTCGGTGGTCGGAGACATGTAACTATAGTAAATTGTTGAAGTTGTTTTGGCTGAAATACTTAGAAGGTAATTGGTTAAGAGTTAAGACCTTGAAAAATGGTAGTACATTTTAGTTATTACCCTTTCTAACACATCCTATAGAATTTACTGATTATTTTACTTTTATTTTTCTAATATTATTTCCTTCTACAAATGCACCAGTTCATTGGAGGAGCTTCAGTGAAGGAGGATGGTGGATGACATGGCGAAGGCTGGAAATCGCGTGTGGATGAGGAGACTGGTAAGCGGGAATGGATTGAATTGGTTGTTTGTTTGCATTGTGTTTGATGAATTGGTTGAGCTAAGTTTTGTTTTGTTTTGTTTGTTGATGTGTTTGGGGAAAAATGGAGATTGATGGATTATGGGTGAAATTGTCATGTTAGCTTTTGAAGGTACATAGTTGGGCATATGTTTAAGTTAGGTTGGCATGGGACAACTTCTGATGTTTCTTATTGGGAATTCCAGGGGACGGCCGTTCGGTCGCCATTGCCACTCCACCCAAGAGAGGAAGGGATTACCATACAGTGCTGTAAACTCTTGGGTTTTGTACTTTAATGTTCTTGGGTCTGTAAACTCTCTTAAATCGGTTCAATATGCTCCATTTGCTAGTATTTGGCGTTCTTGACTTGAATTAGTTAATTCCTAAACGAACAAGCAGTTAGAGTGGAGGCCTTTTGGTTGCAAAAGTTACGGCAAGTTATCTGGTTCATATTTTTGCCCGGGTCATTAGCATTTTAGGTTTTATAGTTTGTGCATAAAAGGCAGCTCTTTTGATGGAAAAAGCTTTTGTGGAGTAGATGAATATCGATATCCGCCCGTGGATTGGATTATCAAGATTGTCTTTATGTATTGGATTTGCGTAGCTTGTCATATGAGAATATCCTTACAGTTCTCTAAATATGTATGGGATCTAAATATATGATCTTTATAATGTGTAGAACTTTAATTTTGTATATTGCATCAAGAAATGAACTATGTGGTACCATCAATTTATTTTATTTTGTAATGGATGTTTTGATTTGAATTGTTGATGAAAGAAATTTTCACTAAATAAGACCAAAAAGAGTCATTTTTTACTATATGCTTGCACAGTCTTTGGAATTTATTATACTTTTACTATTAATGATTCAAAACTTTTATGTGCTCACAAACTTTTTTTTTTATTGTCTGCCTAGATGATTCAATTCCTGCCATCAAAGTGACTGCATAGGCGTCGCTTAAATGGTGGGAATAAGGTAAATTTTCGCTCGGACGAGGTTTTCCTTTTTATAGTGAGAACCCTTTTTATGAATGATTTTTGGCGATGCAGGCAACTTTAACTAGACAAGAATTCTAATTTGTCTAAATTTGGTGTTTCTTTCTGGCCAAAACAAATGCAGAATTGAAGAGGCTGAAGCTCAATGTGCATTGCTAAACTCAGAGTCGCTATGTGTAAGTGAAAGCTATCATTTTCTCTTGAAGTTGTGTGTCTATGATTTCAAGCAATGGTTTTATCTAAAGCCTATTACGAGACATTATTTCATGCAATAACTCTCATTTGATTTTTGGATCAACTTTGATCATTAGGATGGATGCTTAATGATCGCTTCACATCAGATTCTGATGCCTTTCTGTTTGGCGCAAGAGCAGTTTATAGAGATATATGTCTTGGTGAGTCTGAGGTCTTTTTCTTTTCAGTACTTGGCTTATTTTACTTATCTGGGTTATTATTTGTTTCTTTTCTGATGCTCGAGAGAAGGTGGTCATGTTGTTTTCTATGAAATAGACGATATTGTGAGGAAACTTGGGTCTGGGAGGAACTCATTGGTAAATTCTTTTTGAATTTTCATGTTAATAGTGAGCAACATTGTAACAAATTAACTAGTTCAGTCATTTAGTTTCTACAATATGAAGAAAATCATAATTATGCAGGATAAACTGTTAATTGTGCATTGAATAATATGTTTGGAGTTTGGGAGAATCAAATATGTGTATTGAAGGGATTTTGAATTCCTTACCATATGAACTTGTCTGAGTTTGAATTCGTAAAATAAATACATTTGAGGGACGTTTTGTTATGGTAATAAATATTTTTTCCCGTAAAATTGTTGCTCGAAAACTTGAGTTCCTCTCCAGGAGGTGACTCATGGGGAAAAAGCTTATATATCTCGTTTAGTATAAACAACTTGAGCAATAGAGAAATTATGTTTCAAAAGTTTAATTCAATATCCAAGATAAGGCTATCAAATTAGTACTGTAATCGAAGCAAGCGAGCCAAATTTGAGCATTTCGAGCTAGTGTTTAATCATGTTCGAAGACCATCGTATTCATTTGTTTATTATTCGAGTGGAAAATAACGTTTGAGTTCCTTCATTTAGTCTGTGAAAGTTCACGTTTGTTCGTGTTTGAACTTAGCTGAAGGTTCGTATCACACAACATATTGATCGACTACAGACGGAGACTAAAGTACAACAGTTATACCTTTGAAAGTGATGACTTGACCTTGTGTAGCCATGAACGAATCGATGAACGCAAACGATAAATCGCGCACGCAGTAGTGGAGTGGATGAACGAACAATGAATCTCAAAATTATTACGAGGGTATTATGTTTTATGTTCGGTGAGCCGTAGGAAATGGGCTTTATCAAGTTGTTTTCCCTTTTATATATATATATATATATATATATATATATATATATATATATTTTGAAATAATGACGCTCCATATATCTCTCTTAAAACACTTATCGCATAACTGCAGCATCACATTATTAAGTCGAAATTGTCTCTTTGATTTTCATATTTACTCCAAAGAGCAGTTATTATTTCCTAATTTTGTTTTTATTTTTCCTATTCTTATTTATCACTTTCTCGTTCTATCAAATCTTACTCCTCCCCCC